AGTAATGAACTGGATTATCTGACAAACACAAGAATTAAACCAGAGAGGCAAGATGCTGCAAACCACATCAAAGGCATTTTGCCAATATCATGCTCATCTTGGGACACAGGATTATTGAAAGGAATAGTGCAAAATTTCAAATATTGTTTAAATTGCGTTTTGGTGATGTTGTTTGGATTTTGGATTTTGATCAAGCATATACAACTGAATTCAATTTTGCTAACTGTACCTATAAGAGCAATAACATATCTTCCAATGTCTGTAAACTTTTCTTATTATTCAACAGGAAAGTTCATAAATACAATTGCACATAACAAAAAATGGTTGGCAAAGTGCATCTCTCCACTGATTCTCAATTTATAACAAGCCCTCAAAATTGAGTTTTTAAAATTTTACCTACTTATCTTTATTTGAAAGAGAGAGATACAGAGAAAGAACTCTTCCATCTGCTGGTTTATCCCCCAGGGCTGGGCCAGGCCACTACCAGGAGCCAGAAATTCCATCTAGATCTCCAACGTGGAAGGCAGGGGAGTCAAGAATTTCAGCCACCACCTGCTGTCTCCCAAGGTTCAAGTTAGCAGGAAGCTGGACCAGAAGTGAGGCCAAGATTTCAAACCCAGGCACTCCTGTATGACACTTGCTGTTCGAAGATATGTCTCATGCCCTGTGCTATTCGTCCACCCTGCCAAAAGTACACTGAAAAGGAAAGTAGCTAAGGGGGGGAGAAATGGAAATCATCTTATAAAATTTTTACAGTATTAATTTTGTAATATCTATTAAATGTAACATACTACTGAAATTATTTGCCCAAATTTACAGCTTTACAACTTGCATGTATACCAAGAAAAATAACTGAATAAATTTATACCTGCAAAACTTACAAATAATTTCACTCTTAATTTTGCATAACAGTTGTTGCTAGGGCCACTAAGCATTTATATAAGACATAAAAAAAGAAATCCTTAATTGAATTTATATGACATTAAAAAACATTATGTTAATTTTGGCTATGCTGATGCATAAAGCAAATAAAGCATTGCTGGGAGAATGCAAAGGGCATTCAGCACAAACATAACAGTAGACTAATTAGTCCTTAAACCCAGAAGGTTGATTTTTTGTGTGTGTGTGAGACGCTCCAGGAAACATTTTCTCTCTGATGAACTGGGTAACGCTGATGAAGCCTTCCCTCCCTAATGAACACATCAGTGACCTCTGACATCAGTACTGCTGGGGATGCAGTGTGAGGCACAAATAGGAGCCCAGAAGTGGCATTATCTTCAGGAAGTGACTCTTGTCTCCAGTCTCTAGGGCCCGTGAGTACTTACGACACAATAAGCTTTTCACACAGTCACTCACAGTAATGACGAAAAAACAGCATAAGAAATAACAAGTAAAGATATAAATTCTCTTCCCTTATGAGCAAGATGTCAGCTGGCAATATACATGAGAAAGGAGAATTATTTTTTTTGAAAACCCTTATGTAAGCATGATCCAACAAAATATTATCAGAATCTCCAAAGTAGCAGATAGTCTAATGATAATTTTTCTGAGCTAAATTACTTGCAAAATAAAAACCATCTACGAAAGTATTTTAAATATTTGCTAGATCCATTCAAAGGATTATATTATAACTATCAATTAACTGTGAAAGCACTATGGTTGACCAGTGTCACTTTTTTTATTAAATGAATGAGAAGTAAAATTGTACATAATACATCATCACTATCAGTAATCTTAAAACATTTGTATTTAACCTCCAAATCAATGTGTTGTGCATGTGTTGTTCACATGACATTCAATGAGATGGAGACTATGCTCCCATTACACAATTATCAGTGTAATTTTTCTAAGTAACTATCTGCATTTTCCCTAGCTTGGGGGTTTATATATGGTGACATAAATTCTCAACTCAGCTAAGTCTAACAGTACTAATACTATCAGACTTCTCATTACTCCCTGAAGGTTTCTAACACCATCCTCTCCTGAGAAAGAAGGGAAATACTCAAACAGCATCTCTGCCCTACTTTCACAGGAGGTAAGAGAAAGCAACATGCCAGACACTCTGGCTTTGGCAGGTGAAAGAGGTGCTAGCTAGCTCACTGGAAGTCTCAGTGGAAGCATAGTTCTGACCGTAGATGGAAGTGGAAAGGAACCAGCCTTAGCAATTGTCCTGAGAAGGGAAACTAGAGCATTAGCCACACTGTTAAAGTCACAACATACCCTGGCATGAATAGCTCATGCTACCTCAGTAGTAACGGGGTGGCCAAATGGCAGGTTCAGTATACTTACTTGTCCATGCAAAGGCTTAAGAAAGTGTCAAGGAAAAAAAATCTAGCTATCATTATTTCTAATATTCTCTCTCTCATGGAAATTTATTTGAAAGTGTCACTCCCTCGATTGCCAAATAATTAATAAACTTGAGTTTGAAATCTTAGGAATTGTGACACATCACCTCCTTGAAAGTTTTTTCTTCAGGAAAAGACATGAGGCAAACAGAGATAAATAAAAATATTAAAACGCATTTTTCTTCTTTAGGAAAAATAAATCATGGCCAGAATTTTTGCTTTGGTACTTTTGCTTTTTCCATTACATTATCTTGACATAGTATGTTTTAGAAAATCTTCTATTGCCATTGAGATCATAAAAAAATTAATGAATATTAGTCAGATACAAATGTTTTCTGAATGTAAATAACTCCTCAAGTTTGCTGTATTGCTAACCAATGCACATAGCAATTATGAGTTTAAAATCTATTTTTTCAGATATCTTCTACTTAAAATCTAAATGATAATAACTTATGACTGCCATTTTCAGTTTTTTCTGCTTATGCAAGAGAAAAATCAAACTTTCAATCTACTCCACAATGGAGTTTGTTTTAGAGTAACAGCTCTTTTAAGCCCTCTCCCATTTCTCTGAAATGGCTAAAATTGAATCGCTGCTTGATTTCCATTTGTTCAGCAACAGTGTTTCTTTTTAAAGAGATAGTCCATCTCATAAGACTTTTTTGGAAAAAGATGAAGCGTCTTTTGAGTGTACTAATTTGTTTCATTCAAAAGATTTTGTCATACCATTATAATTCCTTAAATGTGGCCCTATGTCTCTATACTATAAATGAAAGAAAGTTTAATTACTTGATGTCTGTTGGTATTTTGAAAAGTACAGTCCTTCTCACATTGCCAAAGAAATCTAAATATCATGTTATTATTTATTTGGTGGACAATTAAGTAAACAAATATAGCGTTTTATTTGCATGCTAATATTGAATCCCCATATTTCTGGAAATCTCACTATTTCTGTAATTAAGACTAGGGCTATTTTCACATCACACATTTTAAAATTGTCAAATGAGTTGCAAGATATTCCCGTTGATGGATGAGGAAGAGAAAGTATTCTACACTTGATTCCAACCTTAAAAATGCTAAAGAGCATGACAACCTAACATGTCTTAGAACAAGGTCACATATAAGAAGTTTGCCTCTTTAAGTATCTTCCTAATGGAGGAGACATGTTTGATTACTCATTAGGCCCTCTCAATAAGAACAGTCTTTCAATCAAACCCTTAATTATCCATGGACTATGTCATCAGGTTTTCTCTGCCTTTGGACTATATTGTCTGTAAAGTACCTTCGACGAAACTGTACACTTCCTGAAATCCATTCACTTCACACATAAAGAACCACAGTTATTTGTTTGTGAGATGATAAATATCTCAGAGACAGGCAAAGACAGTTACCCAAAGCTCTGTGTGGCGGCAGAATGGATTTTCCATGGACAGTGCTATTCAGTACTGCGGACAGCTCTCAGGAAGGCGTGGGGTGGGTGGCACTTTCCCCTCAGTTTCTAAACACAATTAAAAGTCATGCTTCCTCGTCCTGTAATATTTGTGTGCTTTTTAGCGGACGCCTATTAAACTGCCTGGAAGGCACACATGCTCCTCCACTTGGCTTTTTCTCCCGAGGAGTTCAGCAAAATAAATAAATAAAAACCAGCCCGAGTCGCTAGTTTGGGATTATTGGGGAGGGGGGGGGGGTCCAGCCTTACTCGGGAGCTAATACAGCGTGGCTGCGGGGTGTGCTAACGCTAATAAGAGGATCTACTTCACGACCTTCATCTGACAATCTCCAAACACGCTTTGAACTGAAGGATGACACCTAAGATCGAGAAACATCTCCCTGTGAATTCTCCAGAGCAGAGTTTTCCTGCGGACCACTCTCCTGCCCTTCCTCCCGAGCTGGGGCACTGGAAGGCGATTCTGAAACAGACCTGTGGTCAAGGTCAAGAAAGGGAGGGTGCCGCCCCACTCCAGCACAGGGGCTCCGGAAACGCCCCCTGGGTCTGTCCAGGAGCCCGACGCTTCCTGTCACGCCCCAGCCCAGCCTGGCAGCGCCGGCTCCACCGAGACGTCTCAAGTCCGGGACTACCCCAGTGCAAACCACCCTTCCCCAGCCTGCGGCTCCGCGGAAGCCCAGAGAGGCGGCCCGGTGCCCCCCGGGGCAGGAAAAGCAGATACAGGCTCCCCGGGGCCGCGAGCGGCCGCGACAGCCAACACCTGAGGGCCACGGACTCCAGTGACCCCATCCCCTTCCCGAGCCCCAGAGACGGGAGGCGCCCCGGTCTCGAGGGAGCGGCGCGAGGAGCGCCGACCGCCCGTCGCCTTGCACGGCCACCTCCAAGTAAAAGTTTCCCCGGGTCCACTGGGCATCCTCGCGCCGGAGGTCACCCCGGCCTCCACCCCTCCGCCGTCCGCCCTCAAAGTTCACGAGGCCAGGAGGAGAGCGGGACCCCCGGAGCCCCGTCGCTCGGGCCCCCGCGCGACGGGGAAAGAGTTGCCGGAGAGTCCGGCCGGCTCGGCCTCGGAAGCGGCCGCCGGCGGCGCCACCGCGGCCGCCCGCGCGCCCTCCCTCCGCGTTCCCGGGGCGCCCACTCCCAGCCGCGCGCGGGGAAGCGAGTTGGAGGGCGCGCCCGGCGGGCGGGGTGGGGCGGCGCCGGGGAGCCCTCACCTGAAATCGCTGTAAGGGTGGATAATCCAGAAGCCTGCAGTTTTAACCCTTTCCTGCTCCTTCTCCACCGCCTTCTGGCTCCCGAACATGCGGAGGGAGAATTTGTTGACCCCGGGCTGCAGCATGGAGGTGAACTGTCGCTGCATGAAGCCGTACTGCCGCCGCGGCCCCTCGGCGTCCTCCAGGCCCCCCGCCGACTCTTCGCCGCCGCCGCCGCCGCCGTCCACCTTGAAGCACACGGAGTTGCCGTGCTCCTTCGCGCCGGCCCCGCCGCCCCCCGGCGGGGTGCCCAGGCGCTTCTCGGCCGCGGCCGGCCCCGCGCCCGTCGCGGGCGCCTTGGCGGGGAAGACGCTGTTGCCATCGTCCCGGCTGTTGGACGAAGAGTTGGGCTTGCCGCCTCCTTCCATGCCCGGAAGACGCGGCCGGCGACGGCGCGGGCTCCAGACTCGCCGGCAGCCCGGCGCCGGGGGCACGGAGCCGCTGGGGCAGGGGCCCGAGCCGGCTGCTGCCGAGCCCCGCTGCCCGTCGCGGCGGCGGCGGCGGCGGCAGCGGCAGCGGCAGCCGCTGCTGCTCCTGCTGCTTCCCGCCCGCGCCGCTGCTCGCTGCGCGCCTCGCTCCCGCCGCCGCCGCTGCCCTCAGTGGCTGCGCTCCGGGCTCCGGCGGGGCTGGTGCCGACGCTGAGGCTGCCGGAGCGAGGCGAGGCGCGGCTCAGTCAGCGCAGCCCTTGCGCGCCAGCGCCTCCGCTCGGCTGCCCTCTGCTGGCCACCGAGGGTGCGTCCCCGCCCGCGCACCGCGACACGCTCTGCCTGCTACTCTTGCTCCACTTCTGCCCAGCGTGACATTGAACTCAGGAGCCCCGGGAGACCGCGCTGTGCACCCGGCGCGAGAGGCTCGGTGTAGGTTCGCACGAAAGAGGAGGAGGAGAGAGCGTGAGCACCTGAGCTCAGTGAGAGTGTTATTCCGAGAGAAATCAGCCTTCTAAAACTCAACTGATACCCAGTGTGGCTTCCTATTTGAATGTGACAGGGTTATGGGAACAGGCTGATTCGCCTGTAGAGATAGGGGTGCGTGTCAAAGTGAGGCTGGACAATGGCACACAAATTTCACCGCAGAAGGGAAGTTGGGTGCGTGTGTGTGGAAAGAGAGGGGCTGGCCGGGATAGCCGGGCCCCTGCCACCCTGGGTAGTCAGCCGCTTTGGGGCTTTTCAGATTAAGCCTCTTCACCTAGGGACAGACAACTGACCTCCTTACCCTTATCCTTGTTTATTCTCGCGGAGCTCCTTAAGCAGGGGTTGGGATATTTTTTCCCTTCTTGCCAAGGCCACTCACATCAACGCACATGCAAGCAGGACCAACAGCCACCAAGACTGAGAGAATAATGTGTGACAGAAAGCTCGCTTAAGCTGACCTATCTTTTTAGATAAATTACGCAATCAATACAACACAGAAAAGCATGGGTGTGGGCCAGTGTGCACCTACAGCAAGCTAGGAAGTCGAGACGTCTTAGCATCTAGTTAAAAATGTAATCACCATTTCAAATGGGAGGGAACTATGCTCCAGTGAAACGTGTGACGTGCTACTGATGCTGAGAAAAGCATTCTCAGATTCCTCTTATTCCCTCCGTGTCTTCCAAACCCGCTGGATTAGCTAAAAGAAGCACAATGTGCTGCCAAACTCACGAGTCACTCAGCAGGACGGCCCGGGAATCTGAGGAGCTTCAAGACTCCTGAATGTCCCTAAACAGCTGTTCCAGATACAAGCATTGCCTCCCTGCCCACAGCCTCTGCAGAAGAAATCTTCCCTGGCCCAGAGTCCCCGATGCCCCGAGTTCCAGTCAGCTACAGCACATTTTTCCTGCAGGGAAGGGCACCTCACGGAGGGGTTCTGCGGCAGGCTGACAATGGGTGGTGGGAAAACGAGCGTTTTCCTGAACTGAAAGTGTTTTCCTGAAAAATTGAGAAGTGATTAGGCAACTAACAGTGGAGGAGGAGTCCATAGAGACAGAGACAATCAGATGCCTTCGTGGGGGTTAACACAGGCTGGGAGAGGAAGCAGAGAAGCAAGAAAACAGCAACTAGAAGCAAGATACCAGGAGCCATTAGGTCAACTCTGTCACAATTCTCCTTACCATTCTCCTTAGAACAGTCTCTACTAACTCTCCTTATTCAGTGAGCTATGTCCTGACTCAGACACCATCTGTTTTCAACAAACCGAAAACCAGAGTCCTACGAAATAAGTATAGCTGGCCGAAATTTCATGGTAAGAAATAGGGAAAACAGGGGCCGATGCTGTGGTGCAGGGGATTAAAGCTCCAGCCTGCAGTGCGGGCATTTTATTTGGGCACCGGTTGGAGACCTGGCTGCCCCTCTTCTCATGCCTGGGAAAGCAGTGGAAGATGGCCCAAGTCCTTGGGCCCCGGCACCCACGTGGGAGACCCAGAGGAAGCTCCTGGCTTGGGGTCAGCTCAGCTCTGGCCATTATAGCCATTTGGGGAGTAAACCAGCAGATGGAAGACCTCTCTCTCTCTCTCTGTCTCTAACTCTCTCTGTAATTCTTTCAACTAAATAAAACAAATCTTTTAAAAAATAAAAAAGAATAGCGAAAATATAAACTATACCAATGTAGGAACGCTGGAAATCCAAGAGGTCAGATAAGAGTAATAAGTGTCTGAGGCAGAAGGCAGCCACAGGGATGGATAGAAACAAACATCATCTAAAGCACACCTCTGCCAAAGACATGTGCAAGTACTCACACATTTTTCTTTATTCAACCAAGACATTACCCCACTTTTCTCCCATTCTGAATGCCTCTCCAACCCCCTCTATTTTCAGTCATGAGTCTATGAGTGTGGCAAGGTATATTTTAATATAAAATTTAAACTATAATATTTAAAAATAAGCCATCTAAAACACGATGCAAATTTTAAGTTTCTCTTTTCTTTTAGCCAATCTTTCTATTTGTTCTCTTTCAAATTGATTTTAATGATAGCAAGCAGTTAATTTAGCAGAAGTTTTTCTGAGCTTCAATGTTTGTACGAAATATGACAATTACTGAAAACAAGGTCTCAAAATAGAACTGAAGTGTCTAAAAAAGATCAAAACTTATTAGTTGCCCCCAAAATAGCTTGTAGATCATATTTTATTCATTTCAAGTAAAAAAAGTGAAGTTTGAAAATGTATATATCAATATATTAACTTAAAATCATGAACAATATGAAAAGTCAAGATTCTTCACTTTCAGAACGTTTATTTAAAATGATTCGAATGAGTACTCAAATAAAAAATTTCCTTAGGAAGAAGAGAAGCCTTGCAAGAAAATAGGACTAGGGTGAAAACAATGGGAGTATGATAGCAATGAGAGAATGACACAGAAAGCATGAGAGAGCGGTGAGAGAAACAGAGATCCTAAACTTTGAAGATAATCTCTTCTTAGCATATTTCTGTGTCTCTTCATCAACAATCTATCTCATACTAAAATCTACTGAGACAAACTAAAGTGTTTTTTCAAAGTAACCTTAGAAATTGGACAACCATCGCGTTTGACTCTCTCATTAACTACCCTTAACATCAAAATGCTTTGAATTTCAGGAGTATGATTTCTGAAGACTTATCAGAGATTATCAATTATGAATTCATTTCCTAAGAAAGAGTCAACAGTAGTTGTATGGTTGCAATTAAGCATATACAAAAATTATGCATCCTTTTAAATATTCCCTGTCTCCTTTAATACTCTGCTTAAGATCAAATTTCAGACAGCAGCAGATTAATATGAATCTAAAATAAAATCTCCATGCAGCAGGCACAGCACATGAAATGAGACAAAGAAGATATATGGGTGACTTGAAGTTTGAGAGCTTCTTGGAAAATTCTCAGGGAAACTTAAAGATTTAATGGCTAAAAAAAAAAGTTTCAGTACTCTTAGTAGGACAGAGATATATGTTAAATTCATGTTTCACATGTGAGGAAATGACGTCAGAAAACCTGTTTCCATTGGTGAAGACAATGATAAGAAACTGGAAAAAAATAGTTTACCCAATAGAAGCAAACAGGCAGAATTGATGATCTATCGGAAAAGCAACCACCAGTATTGTGCTTTATGAGAAACACTAGAAATATTAAAGTGAGAATGAGGCATTCATACTCAGCATTTCTGTGGGGGCACATTATTCTCAATTGATAATATGGTCTCTCTGAAAACCCAAAAGAATCAACTAGATACCCATCGTAGAGAATAATAAAATTTAGAAAGTTAATATAAAGAAAATATGGATAAATTAATATTTTTCCTAAGTGTAGTTAATAACAAGACAATATAAAGGATAACGATTCTTTTCACAACTCAACTATAAATGAAAATGAAACAGTGATAAACTTGACATGTTTGAGATCCATAGCTTAAGAAAAATAATTTCTAGAAAAGGAATAAAAACATGTTTCAATAAATTAGTATATATTCTTGTCCATAATATAAGGGCTTAATAATATAAAGATTTTTGTTGTGCTCAAATTGATTTTTAAATTTCAACAAAATTGTGTAATTCATGTCTTTCTTGGAGGGTAAGCATGACAAAATGTTTTTAAATTCATTTGGATTCCATTTTTTTCTATTACTAATAAGATATAGCTTAAAAATGAAAATAATGAGGGAATTTTCAAAACATAGAACTTCTATGGCTGTACTGAAATAATCAGGTAAGATAATATATTACACTATAAGTTACAGGGACCAGCACCGTGGCATAGTAGGCTAAGCCTCTGCCTGCAGTGCCCGCATCCCATATCAGCACCAGATCATGTCCTCTCTGCTCCTCCAGCATCTCCGTTGATAGCCTGGAAAAACAGTGAAAGGTGGCCCAAGGACTTGGCCTTCTGCATCTGTGTGGGAGACCCGGAGGAAACTCCTGTCACCAGGCTTCAGATCAACCCAGCTCCAGCCATTGCAGCCATTTGGGGTGTGAACCAGTGGATGGAAGACCTTTCACTCTGTCTCTCCCTCTCTCTCTCTGTAACTCTGCCTCTCAGATAAATAAATAACATATTATATAAATATATATATATATATGCCAGAAACATGCTGTCATATTGGTTGCAGCTCAAAGGTGCCATTTCAAGACAATAAACAATGGATATGTTGTGTAGCAAATGGTCCTAGATTAGTTCATGATTTCTGAATAAAAGGAAGGTCCAATACATTCCCACATTATTTCCTAAAGTGAATTTAAGGTGGTATAGTTTTGTAATGTAAATACTAAAGTCATGATCAATTTAAATGTAGGTAAATGATTATAAAAGCAAATAAGCCTCATCGTGTTTGCAAAACAAATATTATCTCCATAGTAAACTCTAGAATGGAAAGCTTATTAACATTAAAATTTTGCATTGTGTTTATGTGGCAGAGCTACCTCTTCACCATGGTGGCTTACCTGGCTTCAAAGTCACCTGACTGAAATCTGTTAATTGAAACATTGCACTTCTTATTGTAGTGAATTGTACAAACATAATTTTAAACTCACTTCTGGGCATTGAAAATCATTAAATG